GATTTTATTAATTATCGGGTCTTAAATTAATATATATTTATTCGGAACTGGTCAAAATTGGAAACTGACCAAAGCTTCTGATTGAAACAATAAGGATTTTTTTTATCTGATACCATCTTTACAGCCGTTTGCAGGGTCACAAAGTATGACTGAACAATTGCAGACACCCTCCAAGCATCGACGCCCGTAACTTGGATATTTACAATTGTAGGCACACTGGGGTCCAAACGATCCACGGGGACACTCTGAAAATAAGACATAAGTATTAATCATCAGTTAACCTCTTAGAGGTGATTAAGTAAGCTTGTTGCCACAAATGAATATTTGATAAATAATCATTGTAAAATCATAATTAATGTTGCTAGTATGTCAAAAACAACACACAGGTAAATGTAGTACATTATAGCAGGGAAAGGTGGTGCTGAAACAAATAGAGATTATAATTGATTCATTTTCACCAGAGACGCAGGAATAAACCTGTCAAATGTGCATTTTTTTTTCAAAATGTAGCTTCGTATCTATTATCAAAAGCAAATGAAAAGTAAAGCCAAGAAAGAAACTCACCGACGCATTTTGAGTTTGTGAAATCCCATTTAAAGTCAATGTTACAATCTTTTCTGCTACAAAATATTTTTTATACGAATTGTAGATCATGTGCGTGTATATAGCAATTATAATATATTAATGCTGATGAAAAATTATAATAATTATAATTAATTAAATACCTGTCTTTGAGAGAAACAAAGCCTAAATTTATAACCACAATAATATAAACACTTTTTAAGAGAAGGCTGCTTTTCAATAATGCAATATCTGCCATTCTAGAACTTTTGGATATGAATAGTCACACGTTATGAATTTGTGCAAAAAATGAGGTGATGAAGTGAAGCAAACCACGTGGCACTGATCTCCAATCACAGTTTAATATCAAACTGAAAAATATGAGCTTCACGAGACCCCAAAACCGGAATAAAAGGTCAAAATATAAATGTATGACTTGAAGATTAACAAAGTGGAATTAAAGCAAGGTATGGTACCCAAAACACGTTAGAGTATTCCACTTAAGGGTCACGTCAAATTTGGCTGACGCAAAATAATTCCTGAATATCCGCTTCCAATTCAGACATTTTAACACGATACTAGAGGTGAATTTTTGTGAGATGAAAAAAATATGTTAACTTCCTGTATTGACTAGAATCATAACGATAAAGAACCCGCAATGCTCAATTGTCCCCGAGTTCCGAGTTTAGGTCTAATTTTGAAGTCCTTCACCGACATATGTATGACCTCTCTATATTAGTGAAAATTATCAAATAGGACGTAAAACAACACTCTTTCAATTAATCAATGAAATCAAATTACAGTTAGACACAATAAATTCACTTGCAAACTTATTGTATCAACTAAATACCTATGTCTGTCAACGTGTCTTCTGTGCAATTCCACATACAACGACATCTTCTGTCACGTGACTTTCTCCTGGAGTGTTCTCTAGATCTCTGACTGTCACAATGAATGGTGGAGCACAATTGTTAATTCATTTGATATCGGCCTTGGAGCAGAATTGTGTGGTCTATGGTACAGATCTTTTTCTGTTTGTCCTGGGCGCGAACCTCAAACCATTTTACCTTTATCTCAGGAAAGACTTCAGGATTCCAACTCAAAACTGTTAGTTTGGGCTTGCGCACAATACCAACGGCTATGTGCAGCGCCCTCGCACATATAACTCGTGTAGAACAAATGTGACATTTGTACAGAATTTTTTATTTTTTGATTTCTTAGCAAAGGGGGATGATTAAAAAAGAAACGAATGTGGGAAATAAGTCAGGAATGTAAAGGACAGGTTTTGAATTTTAGGAAATTTTTATTAAAGTAAAACAACCGTATTTTATTCCTTCAAAAAGTTATCTGGAAATATACATGTAAAGACGGCCAAAGTAGTTCTGGCTTTTTAGTGTAAGCAAACTCTAGATTTCATTGATGCAGTTATCAAAACAATTTTATATCCAATCAGAATCATGTATTTTATAGAAATTCAATGATTCAAAGTTTCAAAGTGATAAGTATGAGAAATCAAAGTGTCAAAGTTATCACTATTGTAAATCAAAGTTTTCATAGTTTCAAAGTAATCAATATAGTTAACTATAGTATTTTTTGATAGAGAAACCGAACAAAGAATTGTGCTTCGAATTAACATGAGTATGACTGCAGATTTTTTATTAAAATGAGAATTTTATATAGTACTTAAGTACAACCTTTAATTAAGATAAATCTGAGTGTGTATGAATCCCTCTCCAAATCTTACAAAAATCTTCTGTGTTGAAATTTCCATGGGTATCGACTGTTCCCTATTATAAGAAGACTTATCATTATATTCATATGAAGCAGAATGTATTTAAAATCTTATGTGCGAAAAGAAGAAAATACTTCCTCTAGCCTTCAACTCAACATCTAGATTGATTGATGAAGTACTATTAATAAACAAAGATTATTTCAATTCTTATGTCAATTTAACATATCTTATTGAACTTGAGATTTTTTCCCCACACCATAGAGTCTAATTTTTTTTTGTCACATTTGGAATTTTACTTGGAAAAGACGTTGGTCTAAAAATTTAACAAAGCTTTATGCAGTCTCCTTAAAGTCATCATTTCGTAAGTTTTATGGATGACGGATTTTCCCGTTATTCTCTTTCATGACAAGGAACACAATTAAGGTTTGATCGGTCGTGAAGTGTGCTCGGCCGACATGACATGCTCACTCCTCCATGGTACCTGATCCCACCTCTGATGTTTTATATTAGAGGCTCCTAATTGCTCTGCATATGATTCATATTGTGGATTATTCAGCGTGAAGACTTTTCGTTATCTCTGTATATCTCCAAATTAGGAAGAGGTCGAAAGGGGCGAAAATAAAACGGGAGCAAAAATATCCCTGTATACAGTATATCATTAGACCTGTGAAAAAGCTTAAATGTTTGTGACCTAGGCTGTCACGTCACCTAACATCAAGCAATTGTTCCGTAAATGCTATACATGTATCTACACTGTACAAGGTCCATTGAATATTTTTGACATTTAATGTAAAAGACCTGATCTTTTTACATACTAATAAATAAATGATAGGTATTTTATTAGACATATGTCTTACTATTCTAATAACTCTCGTACGTGTAAATATTATATATGAGATGTTTATTATATCTCTTTTTACTTTTTTAACTAAGAATAAGATTTCTTAACTCAATGCTTGCCTAGTTTTTTTTATTAATTCATGTTTTGGAAAAACAACATACATTTACTAATCTAGTGTTCAAATGTTTTAACCAGAAAGAATGAATAAGTGTATTCTACTATATTTGCATTCCCACTTCCTTCTCCCACTATGAACATGCGGTCATCAACTGCGTTCATAGCACTATAGACGCAATTGCTTCTGCTATGACTGCAATTGCTCTATCTCATTCGTGTAGAACAAACTCCACTACAATTATAAACCGTGTCGAGAAGTATATATATGAAACTTTTCGTATAAGGAATAAAAATAAGTTTTTAATAATATTCTTTGAAAAAAAAAAGAAATTCAAAAAAATTAAAATTGCTGATTTATATCTTCAAAAATTTAGTTTTGGTCAATGTATTTTATTGTATAATAATTTTTTTTTTTTTTAATTATATAAAACTGCCATATTTTTATTTTTTTGTATCATGTATATTTGTACAAAGAAAGATAACTCTTCACACTTGGGTAAAAACATTCAGAAAACTAGTATTACTTGTATATCTACTTCAAGAATAATTTCAGCTATTAAAAATAAATAGAAAAACTAAAAAAAAAATCATAGAAAAGCATTCTGGAGTAATAATCATTATAAAAGCATTATCATTTTTCATCAAAGTGTTAAATCATTGATTTTTGTCAGAGGGTTTCAATAACGTTGATCGATGACGTCAAAACTGCATCAAAACAAAAATTAAGAGAATGTGTTGACGGCGCTGCTTGTATCCAGATAGTTGTTTTTGAGAGGGAAATACTTTATAATTGTTTGTGATTTATTAGATAAAAGGATCATTGATCAGGTGTACTGATTTTAGAGCCGTATGTTTTTCAGTACTGAAGACAAGAAGCCGCGTCCTTATGTAAGTCAGGATTTCCTCTGATATTCTTGAATAAATCAAAGAATGCAAATATAAGTAATAAACAACGATTATTCAGTGAACATGGCATTATGAATAGCAATAGCTCTGCTGGCATATTTTCCATGATGCGCTAACGCGCATCATGGAATATGCCAGCAGAGCAATTGCTATTCATAACGCCATGTTCACTGAATAACGTTGTTTATTTCTTAAATAATTAAATGTACAGAATGTAAAGGAGCACCCAACAGTGATCACCTGGTTATATGCATGATACAAATTCAACTGATAGTTAATTTAATTGACTGCCATTTGATCCTCAGTGAACTGTCAACTGAATGAACCAATAGAAATACTTTTTTTTTATTTCTAAATTGCCAATCAAAAATTTAAAATAAAATGTATCAAATTTGTTCTGCGAGACAACAGAAAATACCAGGCATAAAATATATACATTTATATTAAATTGAGTCTAAATAAAATAAACATAATGATTTTTATATCTGATGTTTTATTAAGATATCTTAAATTGTTTTTACTCAAAGAATGTCCTTTTTCCAGAGACGTTAGAAATTCAAAATATGAAATACATGAGAATATGCAGATATTGAACAGTAAAGAAGATCAAAACAAAACAAATTAAGAGCAGAGAAAACATGGACTTCCAAAACATCGAGTCGGGAAAAGAAATAAATAGTCACGTGAATATTGATATGGAATTATAATTTAAAATCTACGATCAACGAAGATTGCATTTTAGAAAAAAAAATCTTTCATAACATGATTAATGTAAAAGTTATTGTCAGGATACTTATATAAGTCAAACAGAATGTAATGATAATCAGAACTGGGTGTCATTTATTATTTCCTTTGAGGCAACGCTGTGTACTTGCTTTTTTCGATCTTTTTCTCGTCCAGACCTACGTATTCCCCAGCATTACTTTCTTGATTACTAAATCTATTAGGAACAAGATTTCTGTCATCTATTTCGTAGTAAGATGTGACTCGCCCATTATTTGATATGTACGACATTCTATTCGGGTTTGTCTGGTTTGCTTTCTTTTGTCCTCGTCGGAACACCAGGACAACCATGACGATCATTGAGACGGCAACAGTGGAAACAGAAGACAAGGCGATGATGACGATCATATCCGACCATTCCTTAGATTTGTTTTTCCTTGAGGGCTCTGACTTCACCTGTCTTGTTTTGTCAAACATGGAAGTGCTGTGCTCTTGATTCGAGCCAAAGGTTGTGGATTCTTCTAATTTAGGTAATATATTTGAAAACATTAGTTTTGTATGCAGTCATGTACGAGGGACGTTCAATAAATAATGTCATCAGCTCGATGACACACAACATAGAAATCATATGCCATTAATTTGACTTTATCTAATTATTGAATCTTTAATGAGTTGATAACAGTTTATGTGAGCGCTTTTCATCACATAATTCAATTGTGAGAAGCTAGAAAACAAGGGCTACTTGATACACTGCATTTAAAATGAATAGTCAAGAATCAGTAAACTAGAGTGAAATAAAACTTGTTAAGAATCCCAAAGATATATTAACTGAAATATGTTAAATTTACAGCAACCAATGCCTGTTTTATACACACATGAGCAGGTGGATTTCAATAAACAAAAATGATGTAATGGGCATCAAAAACGGATACCGTCCCTGGGTACAAGGACATAGAAGAACCAATGTATATTTGCGAAATTTCAACAAATTAACACAGAATATGTTTAATTGACTTTAAGACACATACCAAATTTGAGAGACATCACTTTGGGGGTAGTTTATACTGTTTTAAAGAAACAATTGATAGGAAAATAATTCAATGCTCAAAGGTCACCCGATATTTTGCAAAATTAGTGAAAACGACAGTGTGTAGGAATATCTAAACAATTATTTTTTCAAAAAATGTAATTATTCATGTTTGTCTGATATTCAAACAGATAATGAAACTAGAATTTATTTTCCTTTAAACCATCAAAACAAATTTACAATGAGATACACTTGACAAAACAGCAATGGACTGAAAAGATCAAAGAATTGGAAGAACACAAAAAAAGTTTTATATGATATGTTCTTAAATATTAGTAATCTTGTTGTTCAAATTCTCATCGTAGAAGTCATTTCAATTTCTGGAAGAATCTAGAAAGCAAAATGTTTGCAAAAAAGTGAAAGGTTTATGAGAGGAAGAAGCCAGAATGAGGAATTCACTAATTTAATTTCTTAATGACAGCGTCTAAACCCACAAGCTATGAAGAATAAAGGAGTTCTGGGGATAAATAGAAAGTAACTGTTTTGTCAAACCAACATAATTGGCCAGCACTTTCAATGTTTGACTTGTTTCATTTCCCAAACTTGAAAAAACACCTTTCAGAAAGGAAAAAAAACAAGTACAGGAAATCAAAGGGTCTGCCATATTCCAGTATACGAAGGGTCATACTCAAAAAAGTGTTGTAAAAACAATTAGAATTCAATGAAAATGTTGTGGACATGTGTTTTCATTGAAAAAGAATATTTTAGTTTAATCATTGGGACTAAATCATAGAAAACGTTTTTTTTTCTTTCCGAGCACCGATGACATTATTTATAGAACGTCCCTCGTACTTCTTGTTAAAGGAAAAAATTGGTAACATCTAGCGCCATTTTTGGTTACGATTAACAATCTACCATGGTATAAAAACCTGAATGTAATGCTAATGTATTGGTAAAATAAAAATATTTCCTTTCTCAAAGATATCAAACAAACCTGATAAACATCCATGAGTGTTGTTACACTTTTCCTTGGGACAAATGCACCTACCTCCTAGGCATCTATACCCGTATGTTGGATAGGGACATGCGTGCTCACATTTAGGTCCAAAGTATCCTTGAGGACAGGCTTTAACGATTTCAAACAAAAAGAATTTATTTTTTGGTTTTTTTGTTATTTTAATTTTTTTACATTACGTCAAAAAGAGTTTTGTCCGATTTTTTTCTTCGCAAATTTCTTTTGTAATGTATGACTGAAATCAGTCATTGATTTTCTTTGATATTGAAAAATCACCATCGGATATCTAGAAAACTCAACAGGTTTTAAACAAAAATATATTATTTACATTTTAAAAACATTATCAATAGTAATTTGAATGCAATGGGTCGGGTTATTTGAAATGATAAATGTTTTAGATTTATTCAGTACCTGTCATTTAATGTAACAGTTATATTTGTTAATTTGGTTTCAATACTTCTCTTTTTAGTAGTGTTGTAGTTTATTCTTTAGTTGATTTTGTTTTTTAAATTTGGTTTGTTAAATTACGAGGGTTGATCCAAAAGTAATGTCACAGTGTCCATGTCTTTTATATTTGGCGTCATATTATCAAATACAATATACCAAAAGATGCACAAACATGAATCTAATTAACATTGAAATTTTAATTTGATAATGTTTGCTTGAATTTATTTTATAGATTTTTAAAACATAGAGCATTTGGAGTGTCGCCGAGTCACAACAGAACGTCAAGTTTTAAAGTATATTTTTCTAAGAATAATAAAGACAAACACATTAAAAAGATTCTAAAAAAGCACCTAATCTCCCAATTTTTTTTTTAAAATACACAATTCTCGTCATTTTCTAGTCTTTAATTGAAAATTAAATGACGGCGTTGGTATTTGTGATCATAAACATTGTTGTTTTACTTTGTTGAAATGAACAAAGGGATAGTCGAGATGGTAAAAAACGACTCGACGAGTTGTAATGCATTTTTGCTTCAAAATATTGGAATCATCACAAGCGACAGTTACGTTAATAAATCAGACTTACAGAATAAAGAATGTAAATAAGAGACATCTTATTGATGATTTTGGCAATTTTGGGCGGTTGATTGGTCACTGAATGATCAGCAGAGGACAAGAAGACCTAAAGATAGGATATCAGACGGAAACGTTCAATGGTGTCTGACGTTGTCAAAAAAGACAGACGTTTAGAGTTACAGGTGAATTTTGAAGTTTCTCTAATGCTACTTTTCAAAAAATTTTGATAGAGAGCTTTATTATGAAAAGAGTGAGTGTATAATGGTACCAGTAATTCTTTAGGAAAGTGGAATTGGTGAAAGTGTTTGTGAATCACAAATATTTTTAATGAAAGAAGGAGAAACGCTTAAAAGTATGACGGTGCGTATCCGTCATTTGACGTTATATTTAGGTTCGGCGACAACCATAAACGCACGTTGTTTAAAATCAAATATTTTGGAAAGTACACAGCATATTCCTTTGAATTTTTCAGGTATGATTTGAAATAAATAAAGATTTCATTATGTATATTTTTGTTGCTTTACGTCGATTTATAGCAATTTTATCAAAGTTGTGACATTACTTTTGGATCAACCCTCGTATTTGTTGAATTTGCATTGTATTTTTTTGTTCGATTGTTTTTCATTTTTACTTTAATACTATGATGACTTATTTTTTATACAGTTTAAGGTATTTCCATCCTCCTATGATGTCATAGGTTTTTGCAAAACCTCTCAACTGTTATTAATTTAGATTCATGCCAAGTAGAACAATAATTATTATAAGAATACTTGTAGGTGTAATGATAAATATTGTTAAGTAAAATAATTTTTCAAAAAATCTTTATTTTCTTTTTTTAATCAATAATTCAATCTTTGAAAAATATTGACAAGGGTAATAACTCCTTCTCAGTTATCTTCATTCAAGCATTTTCTTTTTTGAACTTCTTATGTAATTTAGATTCCCTGGTATTCACAATTCAGAATAATCTTAGAGGTAGCAAGTATATCGGAATTTTTAGAATCAGAATTATACATTTGAACCAGTTTTAAGATAATTTTTATTATATTTACAAAAAATGTACACTTTTTCATGTTGACATACACTTCTGTTTATACATGTCTCCTGTCCTAAATAATACGGCGACATATACATTTTATGCAATAATTAGTGAATTTTAACTATATAAAATTAAAATAAATGCTCTTTTTTGTACTTTGAATAATTAAAATTGTGAGGGTTGAAAAATCGTAATGATATATTATTTGAAAAAAAAAACAAATGAAAAAATTAATTTAAATTTTACCTTTAGCCTTTTTTTACATATGGCATTTTGAATATCGTGACTGTTAAAGATTCATTAGATGTTTTAAATAATTTATTTGATATTATTTTTTTAATACTATGATACTATTATATGTAATTATTTGAGAAAAGAGAGATAATAATTATGACTCGTTAAATATCCTGTAGAAAAACTTTTATAGCGTAAAATGATTTTTTTTTTACAATGTAAAATCTGCAGAGTTTTGATGAATCTCATTTAAGATATAATGATAAATGTTTGTAAAATGGTATTGTTACCATGAATATGTCTAATTAATAATGACATTTCTACATAATAATATAACTAAAACAAATATGCTCTTTCTTACGAGTGCATCTTCCATCCTTCAAATAATAATCTGCACAACAGATCCCTGTTTCTCCTGTGCTGCAATAGCAATTCTTTAAAATGTGATACCTTTCTTTTGAATAAATATATTGAACTGTTCTTTGTTATCTTTTAATTTAGAATTGCACAGTGGTAACCTACCTTAAACACGCTTTTTCTGCATTTATAAAGTAAAATATCTCAAATATCCCTATAAAGAGCTGCGAAGTCTTAGACTGATGCATTGTTTTGTGTTTACTTGTAGAACTGAGAGAAGAAGAAAAATTCTGATGTTAAATACTGATACAGATACATTGTTAAGGAAATAAATATCAATTTTAATGCTAACTTGTTTTCATGAATATAACAATATCCTTCAGTGCTTAATCCCGTTCTAGGTACCTAGGTTCGTTTCCTCCCCTATATTTCTAGATTTCAGATTTAAACAATTTGGTACATAGATTTCTTATCTTTTTTATGATTTATTCATAAATTTTACGAGTATATAATTCAACAGCTTTAGGCATCATTAAAATTTTATAACAAATTGACATCAGCTCATTTTGTTGAAACATTTGGGATAACTCTTCATCATAAAATGAATTATCGATCTCAGTTACGTGTCTGTTAAAGTATGTTCCATTCTTACGTGGCTAAATTTTGTGCATCCAGTTTGTCACAAATCAATTCATCTTCGAAATATCAATTTAAATAATCAAAATTATATCCTTCCCCTTTTCCCTTATACTTTTCCTTTAACATGTGTGAGGTACTTCCAAATGTGTCGTCAACTCGTGTTTGTAAACTAGTTAAAAGAAGATAAACATTTTTAAAAAACTAGGGCTGGGCAAAAAATATCAATACTTCGGTATATTGCAATACAATGAGAAAAAATATCGTACTGTAATACGTTTTTGTAATATCGATATACCGGCAAAATGCCTAGACTAAGAAAATTTATCATTAAATAAATTATCAGAATAAATGTGAGAAAATTTGTTATAAAGCCAAACAGTAAGGCAGAAGCTGTTTTATGGATGTATTTTCAGATCATAACTTTAGCAATTTTTTTTGCTAACTTATCAACTTTATGTACACCCTGCATGTAAAATAAAGTTAAAATAATAATAAAATGCAATTTTAATGACAATAAAAATATTGCAAGACATATCGCAATACAGTTAAAAGTATTGCAATATATCGCAGAACAAAATATTTTACCAATACACAGCCATATAAAATACCGATGGAATTTTGCAACACAAGAGAGAAAAGCTGCAAATACTTTTTTATATTGTTTGTACTATTATGGAATTTATTGATGAATCTGGTATGCATATATGTTTTTATCTATTATTTCTATATTGAACTCCAAAATTCATAAAAATCTTTTTAGGAAAAGGTACATTGCAGGCTCCAGTAAATGTTCAACCAAGCCTCTTTCTTTACTCCTCACTAAGATATTAACTGTAGTGAAGGGGAAACTTCAAGAGTACATTGCAACAATATATTCAAAAAGTGTCGTTAATCAGATGTGGAAACTAAAAAATCCAATGAACTCTTGGACAATTCGAAATCACAAGATTTTACCAAATTCAACAGATTAAAAACTTTCCTACTTTATACACAACTATTCACCACGAACGATTAAATTTTAGCCGTTTTGTTATCATTAACTGTTGCTGTTTCAATTTGCTCACTATCTCATGGGTAATTTGCAAAATTATTTTCTTAAAGATGTAATACTGATTGTACACACACGTACTCTGATGTTGTCATCAAAAATATGCTTGAGTTTCTGATTGACGATATATTGGAGACAAGGTCTTCCAATAATCTATTGGAATTCCAATGGGAATCAATTGCGCCCCATTATTAGCTGACCTACTTTTGTATTCATATGAAGCAGTATTCGTCCAAAATCTTATGCGTGAAAAGAAGAAAACACTTGATGAGGCCTTCAACTCGATATTTAGATATATCCTCCCGAAAATCAAATGCTCGGTGTTCCGTTCTATTTCGACAAACTTTCCGCCCATACAACATGGTTATCGAGTACTATATTTCATTAAAAGTTTTTCATAAATTTCAAGTTGCACAATCGCATGTTTATCATATTTTCTTCATTTTACGATCGCAGATAGAGTCGTTGCCGAACGCCAAAACCTTTGACATGTGTACACATTAAACCGTTATTTTGACGCTTTCTGTTTAATGAAGAACTTCAATTCGGAAAACATTAAGGTGGCTCATTACACCACTTTTTGATGACGTAATACACAAAAAAATAAACCTTCATTGTGTCGACCGGTTTCCTCTGGGGACGAATCGTACAGGTACCTCTATAATATGACCCTGACCTTTTAAACGCTTTAAAAATAGATGAAACATGCAGTGTTATAAAAAGTGAAAACAAAGTAACGGATTCATTATGCATATACCAAGAAGGATTGCTT